GGGGCAAAACTCACATTTCGGGCTCCACTGTGGTCCTAAGTCGAGGACTGCCTATGTACATTTCTATCCCCGTTGGTAAATTTTGAGGAATTTGCTGCTCAGTTTTGCTTAAAGTAAAAGAAAACGAAGTAAAATTTAAAAGATCAAGCAGTTTTAATGCTGTGTTCAAATCCAGTGTGCAAGTATTGCCAGGTTCCTCAAAATGTTTGCAAAAAAGCAAACATTCTGGTTTTCTGTGGTGTTGGAATGACATTTTTTTAAAAAATAATTTGAATTTTTAGCATGATGTCCAGGAGGAGGATGACTCTGTTTATGGATTGCAAATATATTCTTTGGCACATCTAATGTTGCAAAATGTGCATTGTTTTTTTTCAGAAGAACTTTGAGTGATACAATATATACCAATCTAAATAAATATCTTTTTTATATTTATACAACTACATACATTCATATCTTTCAAGAACTGCATCAAAAATACTCTGCTTTTTTATTATTATAGTGCTTTTATTTAAAACAAAGTTATATATTTTTAAAAAGATACTTATGAATAAATTACTGAGGTCCTGCAATTATTACTCAATAGGAAACTTGTAAGGGTTTTCTATTCAGTCATGTTTTGTGATATTATTTGAGTACAATACCAACAAGTCTATTTCAGAGTATCAATCTTTTTTCTTTTATAAGTCAAACTGGTCATCTCTGCCATTTATCCAAACTGAGTTAATTTTTTAATCTTCCACTCATCGTTTCACTGCTTTTTCAATTTTTGTTTGCCTATCTTGCCTCAAATACAACAGTGTGAATTTCCCATATTTATTTTCTAATTCCTTGTCCTTAATTCCCAGTAAGAATAATTTTGCTTAAATCATGACATCCATCTGTAATATCTTCTGTGCCATTTGCACCCATTTCTTTTGCTTTTTTTTCCCCACAAGCCTACAGTGTGTTGGAAGAAATATCCTTCTGGGTTCAGTTCCAAGTGGGGAAGAAAGACACTGGAAACATGGTGACTGCTTGGAAAGATGGTTTAGTGGTGGACAGGATCACATGCCTTGGGTGAAGAAAGAAGGGCTGAGATGCTGAGAGTGCAATTGTTTTATACCCTCTGTTGGGATTTGAATTTGAGCTTGTATTCCGATTGGTTGTCAAGCTCCCATGGGGCCATGCAGGGGCAACTCTGTAGGCTATCCTGAATCCCAAGCTTGGTTGAGCCTTGCTGGATGATGATGATGTAATGAAAGGGCTTTGGGCAATTCCTATTATAGCTTTACCTGGAGTAGATCTTTGTTATGTAAAATAGACTGGCCTAGGCCAGAGTAATGGTCCATTAGCAAAGGCAAGGGTGCGGGGCTGAGTTTCTGCCTCTCTGAGTTTTTTTTTTTAAGGGGAAATATTCTGCCTTTTTAGTATATCCTAAAATATTTCATTTTCCTAGGAGAGGGGTGGGTTTTAACGTCCAACACGTGCATGGTAAAAAATCCCCTCTTCCTTTTCATCCTTCCAAGCCTGGCTTGATATTCACCGATACGCTTTTTTTGTTAAGAAAATAATAATTTAACTGGTGCCACACATTACAGGGACACACTCCAAAGCAAAACCAATCATTTCGTTTGGGGGAAAAATTGTCCACTGCCCACCCTTGGATCTTCATTCCCCCCCTCCCTCAAAGGATGCGATTTCCCCCCCAGTTGGGAATCCCCCCACTGGACCTCATCCAACCGAGCTTAGAGCTGATTCCTTTCCAGCTGGAGTTTATTTTTTCCCTGCAAGGGAAAAAAAAGAGAGAGAGAAGAGGCTGAGCTTGGTATGACGGGGGTAACTTTCTGCGCAAGGAATGGATGTTGGAACCAGAGATTTTTTTTTTTAACGCTTTGTGTGAAAAAAGAGGGGAGGGGGGAAGGGAAACACACACTCAGAAGGGGAGTTGGGGGGAAAATAGACAGTGAGATCATCTAAGGACAGGGGCGGGGGGGGATGACTGCCTGACTCCATTGTCTTTTAGCTGGGGACTTATTTTTTACCCCCCTAAGAAGATACCCAGATCATTGTGGGGAGAAGGAAATGTAGCCCCCACCTCAAACCACCTAGCAGCTGGAAGAGATTTCTACTGCGAATAACAACGGGAGGAGCTGGAAGAAGCTGCTGGCTGAGCCAAACATCAGGTATTTATACACTCCCTGTCCATCCAAGCCTGCGCTTACCCCCCCCTTCTCCTTTGTGTATATTTGCATGCTCTCTCTCTCTCTCTCTCCCTCTCCATCCTCATTCCCTCCTTCTCCCAGCAACAATGGCTGAGATTTTAATTCTGCACAAAAGTGCTATTGCTGATGGAAGTACAGGACCAAAGGTTTACAGGAGGAATGCGGAAGGTTTCCCGCCCCCCCCCCGCTTTCTTTTCCATGGATAGCCAGGGAGAGAAGGAAGCGTGCTGGAAGCAGTGGATGGAGGATTTCTTACCCCACCATTTCAAAAAGAATGCAATAATAATCAGGCATGGCAATCCTGGGATGCTTTTTGTTTTTTTGTTATATGAGAGAGAGAGAGACAGAGAGACAGAGAAAGAGAGAAACAGGGACCTCCCTACTCAGCCCTCTTTGACGATAGCAGAGAACCCCGGAGTCGAAAATTTAATTCTGATTCTGCCTTCGAAGATTCCGTGGGAAGGTACGCACTATTATTCTCTGACTGGGGAAGATGAATTTGGGTTTTAATAGCCCTGACCATCTTCCAAAGATAGATTCTTTGAGGTAGGGATTCCTGTGAGCCAAAAGCCTTTGGAATTTTGGACCCCAAATCCATAAATGAATGATGTTGGGGGAATCTGCTTTCTTGCTCTCTCGCAAATTCCAGGGGATGTGACAAAACCTTTCTGTTTCGGTTGAACCTGCCATCCAAAACGTCGCAAAAAGATAGAGAGCACTGGTAGAAGAAACCCATGTGAGAAATCCAGCTTTGCTGGCTCCAGTGAGGAAGAGGTGGCTTCCTTCCCATGAGATATGAAATAATAAACCATGTTTTCTCAGGAGGTAACCCTAGAACAGGAGGTTGGGTCTGCCCACCCAACGGATGCAGGAGGATACTCCTGAACGGTTAAGGATGTGATGGCCATGCAGCCGGTTTGAACCACAGGGTGGATTTTGTGGCCTCAAAGGGGAAAAACAAAATTCCAATATCTATGAGCCCCTGTTCTTCTATTCCCCAATTTTCAAAGACAAACCTGTCTCACAGGAAGGAGTGATGCCCACAAGGGTTCTGGGCTTCCACGCTGCAGGAATGAGAGAAGCTTGGAGAAATAGAGGCTGCACTGTTTTTTTTAAAAAATAATATCTCGAATAAAGAGATTTGTAAACCGTGGAGCATTTGCTGGTGCTCCAGCCGGAGGACATCACGCATGATGCGTTCCAGACGTTTTCAAAGAGCTGGGAGCGGGGGGGGGGGGGCTTTTCCCTTGGAGGAGACGTTCTCCTGTTCCGGGAAGCATTTGAAGAGGGATGTCATCCCTCTTCTCACATCCCACTGCCTCCTTCTCCTCCTCCTCTTCTTCGTCCAGGGTTGTTATCCGTTGACCCTCAGGAAGATGGCGGCCGCTTCCTCCTCCTCCTCCTCCTGCAATGCAGAAGAAGATGAGAGCTTAAAAGGATGTGAGCTCTACGTTCAGAAGCACAACATTCAGCAAATCCTGAAGGAGTGCATTGTGAACCTCTGCATTGCTAAACCCGACCGGCCGATGAAGTTTTTGCGGGAACATTTTGAGAAACTGGAAAAGGTAAAGGGGTTTTCAAACAAGGGAGATACTGGGATGCTTGTATTTATTTATTTTTTTCATTTTTGTAAAAAAGAAGAGTATTCTGATCTTCAGAAGCTGCTTCCTAGGGAGTCAGAGCACAATTCAACTGTTTTCTAAGGTTGGTGGCAGGACCTAGGCCAACCTTAACTGGAGACACCAAAGTTTGAATTAGGGGCCTTTCATAAGCAGGTTGAAATTGTTCTACAAAGAGCTTACACTTTTTTTAAAAGCAGACTTTCTGTCTATATCACCTCTATGGTTGACACTGATTGGCAGTATTTCAAATAGGATGTCAACTCATAAAATATGTCTATGGTCTTTTTAGAGTTGCCAACAGGAGGGGAAGGGGGAGCCATGGGCAACTTGCATTCCATAAATGTTTTTAAAGATAGTTTCTAGGTGACTGAAGTTTCTGCTGTGCAAAAATCTAACTGGAGGACATGATTGATGACTCTTGGCTATGGATGTGTCCCATTGGAGAATATGAATTATGATACACCCAGGGGGTGGGGGGGAAACCAGGATCAAGGGTGACAATGAATGATGTGTCTCAGAGTCGGCTACACCCAGGCAGCGCCGGCATGTTTACCCCTAATAAATCTTTTTTAAGTTTTGAAAATTTGGCTAGAGACTTGTGATTTAAATGGGGGTAACTACCGGAGCCCTGACATAGGAGTCTTTCTAACCCTTATGTCAAGGATTGAAATTAGAGTTGTAGGAGATGACCAGGCTGAGCTCAAGGGAGGAGTCAAATGCGTCCTAAGTCACGAGTCCATGCATGCCCAGAAAAGATCTAAGTCCAGCCAACTTTGAATGCCTTTCTTATATCCCGCTCATTTCCCTTGACTATTAGTTGGCCAGATTCTTGTAGAGAGCTTCAGCTTGCAATAAATCTTTTGTACTTGTTCGAACTGCCTGAATCTCCTGATTTCCTCCGGTGTTTGACAAAAGTCTTTGAAATGCAAAATATTTATTAATATGTATTAATATCCTGGTGCAGTTAGTCCTCGACTTACAACAGTTCATTTAGTGACCATTCAAATTTACAACAGCACTGAAAAAAGTGACCAATGGTCATCACACTTATGACCATTGCAGCATCCCCATGGTTACATGATTTGCATTGGATGCTTGACAACTGACTCACCTTCATGAAGGTTGCAATATCCCGAGTCCTATGATCCCCTTTTGCAACCTTCGGACCAGCAGAGTCGACGAGGAAACTAAATTCACTTAACAACCGTGTTACTACTTGAAGAACTGCAGTGATTCACTTAACAACCATGGCAAGAAAAGTTGTAAAGGGGGGCAAAGCTCGCTTCACAAATGCTTCACTTAACCACAGAAATTTTGGGCTCAATTGTGAACTGTGGTTGTAAGTTGAGGACTACCTGTATAATGCTAAGTACAATGGGGGTTCCTTTGACTGTGGATATTGTGGTTTTTGCATGGGGCTTTGTTTCGTTGCATGGTTGTGCACATTGTTTTACGCCTTGCTTAATTTTAACTTGAACTTAATTTGTGAAGTTCTAACTCTGTCTGAGCGCTACTGAAGCGCTACAGCAAACGGTAGCAATTCAGACCAGTCATTTGGCTGATAGGACACATAGCAGCGTAGATATTGTTCAATTGCTGCATTAGTTCATTCATTAGTGCCATTCGTTCTTGGGTGATAAGCAGTACTTAACCCCTGTGATCAACCTATCAACTTAACCCCTGTGATGAACCTATCAACTGCCAAAACCGAGCAGTAAACTGCAGCCTTCGATCTGATATGATCCCTCTTGGTACCCCATGCAATCGATATATATTTTTAAGAAATAGGGTAGCCAACTTCCAGGCAGATGGCAGACATAATAGATGGCTAGTTACGTTGCAAACAGGTGTCACGGGATCTGGTTTATCTCTTCTTTCTATTGGAAAATGCTTACCTGATTGTCAGCCTACCTTTTACTTTATTGTAATCTGTTGTTTGCTTTGCTGTTCTGCACTTAATTTTTTAGTTAAAAAAAATAACCATATTAATAGTGACTGTCTTGATGCAACGGACTAGCATGGCTTAAAATGACAGGCAGATTAAACCAATCAGTTAAAACATAATTTTGAGAAGCTGTAGGATGTCATGGTTGAAGGGGTTTGATTAGGACTCTGAATGTTCAATTTTGCAACATTTTCAGAGGGGGAAAGGGTGACTTTATACCAGAGGTGATATTCAGTCGGTTCTGACCAGTTCTGAAGAACCGGTAGTGGAAATTTTGAGTAGTTCGGAGAACCAGCAAATACTGCCTCTGACTGGCCCAGCCAACCCCATCTATTCTCTGCCTCCGATTGAGTCCCAGCTGATCAGCTGGGTCTCCTTTGGTTGCCCTGCACAGGAGAACAGAGCTGGAAAGCAGGTTAGTGGGGTGGGGAGGGAATGCAGTATCCTTCCGCTGCCACGCCCACCAAGCCATGCCCACAGAACCAGTAGTAAAAAAAATTGAATCCCACCACTGCTTTGTGCCATAGGAAATATGGGAGGCATATTACGTGAATGAAGGAAACCAGTGGCTCCCAAACTTTTGGGCACCAGGGACTGGTTCCGTGGAGAGAGGTTTTTCTGTGGGGAGTGGTTTCAAGTCCTGCCTGCATCCCTCAGATGGGGCTTAACTTGTTCCCATGGCCCAGTTTCTAGCATGCCGTGGCTCCTTGGTGGTCCATGGACTGGGCGTTAGGGATCCCTGATGTAAATAACAGAGGAAGTGAGTCTATGGAGATTTTCAGTCGCCTCAAGTTATGATTATCCTAAAGCTTCTTTCTTTCAAACGGCAACTGGACTTTTCTTGTTTTGCTAGAAGTCGTTTCGCTTCACATCCCAGAGGCTTTCTCAGTTCTGGCTGGATGGTGGAGAATGGAAGGATTTATATCCCTTGCAGTCATCTGGTCTTTAGCATTCTTTCTGAGTGTCATTGAGGCCATTGGGAAGGTTAACTGTGCCCTGCAGACGACTGCAAGGAATTTAAATCCTTCCCCCATTCAGTCGGAACTGAGGACGCTTCTTGGATGAGAAGCGAAACATCTTCTAGCCGAACAAGGAAGCAGTCTCACAAATACAACCCTGAGCTGTTAGATATCACTCTAAAAATAAAAATAAATAAATCTGATTTATTTGGTTTAGCTTTTGAGGTTTGGAATCTATAATATGTGACTGATGTGGCAATAAGGCACCAGGCTAGAAAGCAGGAGTCTGTCAGTTCTAGTACTGCCTTAGCCATGAAAGCCAGCTGGGTGACTCTGGGCCAATCCCTAGGAGATGGTGAGTTCTAGTCCCACTTTAGCCATGAAAGCTTTCCCTCAGTCCAAGCCACCACACAGGGTTATTCCTGTGGGGAAAATAAGAGGAAGAAGGTCTGTTGGATATGTTTGCCACCTTTGAGTTATTTTGCAAAAATAATCAAAGAGGGATACAACAAATAAAGAAATAAAAACCAGCTTATGGATTATTAGGCAAGCGGTGAGTTTCATTATGACTTGACCTCTCACCTAAGAACCTTCAGCCAATCATGCTCCAGGCCCATCTGGCTCCATTAGGAGCCTAGGGAGGTTGGTGGGAGGTTGTAACTTGGACTATGTGACCTCCAAAGGCAAGAACATCTGCCTGGAACATCACAAAAAAAGAACGGTACCCAAGACTCCAGAGTGTCATGGTAACTTGAGGATTGGAGAAGCCAAGCAGTGGACTGGTTTCTGTTAGGCAGGAAGGAATGAGGGCAATAGGAGTAGCTCTCCTCTGTCAGATAGGATGAGGTCCAAGCTGATCCATTCACATGGGGATCAGATTAACAGAGTTGGAAGGGACCTTGTAGGTCATCTAGTCCAACCCCTCCACCCAAGCAGGAGACCCTACACCGTTTCTGACAGATGGCAGTCCACTCTCTTCTTCCAAGCTTCCGGGGATGAAGCTCCCACAACATCCGAAGGCAACTTCTGTTCCATCGGTTGATGGTTCTCACTGTCAGAAAATTCCTCCTTATTTCCAGGTCGAATCTCTCCTTGTTCAGTTTCCATCTATTGTTCTTTGCCTGGCCTTCAGGTGCTTTGAAGAATAGCTTGACCCCTTCCTCCTCTCTGTGGCAGCCCCTAAAATATTGGAAGACTGCTATCATGTCTCCCCAGTTCCTGCAACCGTTCATTGTATGTTTTAGTCTCCAGTCCCCTAATCCTCTTGGTTGCTCTTCTCTGCACTCTTTCTAGAGTCTCAACATCTTTTTTATAGTATGGTGACCAAAATTGGATGCAGGTGTGTACCTTTGCAATGCATCACGGTCATACTTTTCCTTTCCCCCTTTTCCTCTGAGCCACTCTGCCAGTCAGCCTTTGGGTTGATCAATTTTTCCAGCAAGAAGAATCAGATTGCTGGTGGCACCAACCTGTTTTTTTTACCAACTAGTTCTTCTTGTTGATTAGAGGGAAAACATTCAGGGGTCCTGACCCTATTTTCATAGCTGAGGATTGTTTGGTGGGTGAGAATGTTGTAGGAAAGAAGGTGGAACTACCAGAAGTAGATTAAGCAATAGGTGAGGAATACCTCTACCTCAAAAGGCTTTTAGTTTGCTTAGAGTCACATCCTTCTGACCTAGAGAGCCTGGGAGAGCCATGGTGGCGCAGTGGTTAGAGTGCAGTACTGCAGGTTCCTTCTGCTGACTGCCGGCTGCCTGCAATTTGGCAGTTTGAATCTCACCTGGTTCAAGGTTGACTCAGTCTTCTGTCCTTCCGAGGTGGGTAAAATGAGGACCCAGATTGTTGGGGGCAAGAGGCTGACTCTGTAAACTGCTTAGAGAGGGCTGGAAAGCACTGTGAAGTGGTATATAAGTCTGCTATTGCTTGGGAAGGAAGGAAGGAAGGAAGGAAGGAAGGAAGGAAGGAAGGAAGGAAGGAAGCCTGAGTGGTGCATTTGTTGCAATGCAGTGTGCAGGCTAACTTTGCCCTCTGCCACGAGTTCGATCCTGCTGGATCAAGGTTGACTCAGCCTTCCGTCCTTCCGAGGTGGGTAAAATGAGCACCCAGATTGTTGGGGGCAAGAGGCTGACTCTATAAACCGCTTAGAGAGGGCTGTAAAGCACTATAAAGCAGCATATAAGTGCTATGGCTATTTAGGGTTCAAATCTGTGACCAGGATGACTGAGAATCTCCACAGATGTTTCCTCTCTCCTCTTCTTTTATTTCTCTTTATTTTATGCATGCGTTGTGTATCCCCTGGCACCTTCCTTTGTTCCCGGGAATGTCAAGTCTTGAAACTCAGCCTCCCAGCATGAAACAGAAAGAAAGATGTCGAAAACTAAGTCCAGGGAGGCTCCTGCCAAGCCAAAGGAAGACAGTGAGAAAATGCTTGAGGGCTCCATCCAGGTCAGCGGAGCAGCTTACGGGGACCCAGAAAACACAGTCACGGGGTCCATGAACATCCAGGGCCCGGCCAGCAGCTACGCAGGGAAATCCGTGATGGGCTCTATGCACATCAGGGGAGGCAAGACACTGATGGGTTCCATGCATATCCAAGGACCAGCAGATAACATCTCAGGGGCATCATTGACAGGTTCCATGAAGGTCAGAGGACTGGCGAACGCTCTTTCAGCGCAGGAAACAGAAAATGGTGTAAGTTTGCTGAAATCATGACAAATCAGGGTTTTGTCCTGGCCTCTCTTATCACCTTGTTGGAAAATCCCCTTAGAGCAGTGATGGCGAACCTTTTCAGCACCGAGTGCCCAAATCGGAACATGCATGCATGTCTGTGCATGTTAAGGTGACCCATCGTCCTCCTTTAGGGAGGACAGTCCTTCTTTTGTAAGTTCTGTCCTCTCTCGAAAAGTGTCCTCCTACATGTCCTCCTTTCTGATATTTGAAGATTAATCTGTAAATCTCCATATTTGATCGAGGCCCAGGCCGATCCGTTGTGTGTGATGTGACGTATTTGTGTTTGACACGATGATTCGTCAAGGCTCAGTACAGTGCATCGAGACGCGATTGTGAGATGCATGCGCTCTACACGGGAGAATTGTTTTGAGAGAGTGTGCCATGCGCAAGCGGCTTTGTTTTTTTTCTTCAATTTATTTGTGTCCTCCTTCTCATTGTTAAAAAGTTGGTCACCTTAGTACATGTGCATGTGCCAGAGCGCTGGAAAACCGAAGACCAGCTGGCCGGTGCGTGCATGCTCGCTTTTGGGGCATTTTGGGGGCCATTTTGGGGGGG